CCAAAGAACTGAACAATGAATGAGTGATGAATGTTTTCTGTGTCACTGAATTGAAGACTGACTTATTTAGTGATCTAAAAACTAAATTCTGAAGTGGAACTTAAACTTTTCTTCATTTTAATCTTTCAAGATTCCTACTCAATCAAGAAACTGAGCTGGAATTAGGTAAATTATCAGTGTACCTAGCTACTATAAAACAGCTAGGTATTTCGTATACTAGTATATCTCTCAAGTTTGTGGCTTATACACAATAGTCTCCTGCTGCTATATGATAGTTTACTTAAGAAAAATGCACTGCAGAACTCATTTTACAAAGCTGGACCCTAAACCAATCAAATCTTAAATAGTCTCTCTAATTTTCTGAGGACAAAGTCCAGATTGAAAAGGCACATTTGCCAAATACGAAAGGTTTAGATGCAACAGTTACCTTATAAGATTAAAAAAATAAGTGAAATCACCAAGACAATCAACATATGAACTGCAGACAAGAGTGAACACAACATAAACCTATGGCCATAAAGCCTAGGACTTAAACCTTGTTACAGCAAAAGATATGGCATCTACATTGGGTTTTAAAAGGCAGAGCTAATTTCAATTATGCTAGTTCTTTAATTCTATTAGTGTATTTGTCTTTAAAATAATTCAAATTTTGATTAATAATCTACTTAGATACAAGAGGAGTACTGAATGTAATTTATATCATAACAGAAAGTTGAAAAACAAATTACTACAGAAAATATCCTATATTGTACTTCCTGTAACATTATAATTGGGTCTTTATATATCCAAATCTTTCCCTCAACTATGAACTACATGAAGGTAACTCTTTCCCTATCCCATACACTAAAAATACACTAAACGCAACTTGAGCTATACCTCCAAATCAAGGGAAACAATTTATCATTTGCATAATAGTAGCAAACAATATTAGCAAGAAAATTATCTATTTTAGGAATATTGATGATTACTTTGAAAGATGTATGGATACTAGAGGAACTATAAAACTTACCAAAAGTGTTTTTGAAGAACATCAAAATTGTCTAGCATTTTAAACTGTTAAAATACTACCTCAATTTATAATCGCTGATGTTTTCACCTTTGAACATAAGTGATGACTAATCAGTTAAATATATTCTCAAAGTCCAGTTCAAACCCACATACTTCCTTTCATTTACACTACAACTCCTTGTATTAAGTCTTTAAGAATAGTATATGGGTTCTAGTGTATGAAGTTTTGGTGAACAATTCAAACTTTTTTCATCCTATTCCACTTGTTTTACATATTTTGTGTAGCCCCAATTTTTCCAGATTGAAGAGTTCTATTTTTTTATTCTATCCTCATACAGTATTCTTCCCACTTTCCTACTCACATAAACTGCCCCTACATTTTCTCTGATTCTGCTACATGGAAAATACAACTACATCGATGCTAAGGTATAAAGTAGAATACTTTATTAGCCAACATTTAGATGGTTCCTTTACCTGTAATAGAATATAAGAATATCTTCAAAGATCAGTACAGTGATTCATAAATTTATTTCTTAGGGCACAACTTTGAGACTCTCATTCTTTAAGCAGGTTAAAATTTTTCCGTAAATATATTATCTCATATTTATGAGCTCATATTGAAGCCAACTGCAACACTTTAAGTATATATATTTAAATAAATATATTTATATAAAATGAGAAAACACAAGTAGCAATGGAGGCTTTAAGTACATAAAATTAATTCCACATGGTTATTTTTGAAATTTTACTATGTTGAATTTGAAAAGAGTTTCAAGGTAATTTCATCATTTCGCAGATGATCAAAATGAATGCAGAAAATGGTACAGGAAAAATAATCTTTCTCATTTAAGATATTTAATATTAAAATAAAGTCATTACTGAAAGCAACCAAAATGTGTGATAACTGATAATAAACTAAAACAAAGTCTAAGCTATTCCATGAAACTTAGAACTTGCTTTTTCCATTGGATATACAGACTGTTTAGCATAGTGGTTTGAAATTGAGGTTTTGAGATTAGGTTGCCTAAATTCAAATAATGCTCTTTGACCTACTAGCTTTACAGCCTTTTTTGGGGGTGAGGGCTGATTTCCGGCAGCAGGAACCGAACTCACGACCTTGCACTTGCCAGGCAGGCACTGTGCCGCTGAGCTAAATCCCCAGCCCCCTACAGCCTTAAATAAATTAAACTCTTCAAAGAAATAACTGAGGTACTTCACCAAGCTGGAAAGATTATGTAGAATAATGCACATGAAGCAATTGGAGAACCAAGCACATTATTAGTTCTGAAAAAATTTTAGTTAGGAAACTTGTCTTTTTGTTGAACATAATCTATTGGTCACTTTCTTTGGTTAATTTCTATTTCCCTTCAGGCTCCTGAAACACAGATTCTCTGGAAAAACAATCAAAGACTATTATGTAACCCTTAGGCTCCAGGGTGGCTTTATCACTTGCAATCATGGGAGAATCTACCTCCAAAATTCTAACAACATTTCTCACCCATAAGCCCCAATACCTTTTCCATGAATGTGCAGTACAAGGCCCCATAGGCAGTCTGTAGACCTAATAATTTTTAAAAGAAAATTAAAACTTCTCTCCAGTTAAAAGAATTGCACGTGTTTTCGGTGTTGGTGACTACTCGTGAGTAAAAAGTAAGAGGCAGAGTAAGTAAAACAACCTTGGATGACAAGGGTTTACAATATCTCAGAATTGAACTGTCATGTTTTTTCTAAAAGTTTATACTTCTTTGCTTCTATATATTAGGCGATATTTAACTCCATTCAAATTTGAAAGGCACTGATTTTCAAGAGTAACTTTTAAACCACATAGAACAGGTATGGTGAAAGTCGTTCTCTTAACTCTAACCACTACAATAATGTGTGAGCAACATCAATACAGTATCCTAGCTTGCTACACGAGAACAGGTATCCAAACTAATATTATCTCCAGAAACTGTGGAGATGAGAATGGAGTTTTCCTGGTTTTTACATCTTAGCCCAGGAAATCGTCACATGTATTAGAGAAGCTGGTTTGAATACAGTACAATACAGACACCAGATAGTTAAAGTCAACCAAACCCCTTCTCAATGATCTCTATTCTTGTGGAGTATTTTATTCTTCTAGAGTATTTTTAGAACTAAGCTCTATAATCACCTGTCTGCGAGACATCGCCCTAAACAAACCTTAAATCTTAATCAACTTGGCATTTTTAAACCAATTCTTTAAACATTTCCCTACTGATAATTTTCAGAGTTCTAAGTTCACTTTCATACCGTTAACAGTGAAACATTTGCCTTTAACTGTTACATGGACATCTCTCTCTCACACTAGATGGTTAACTTTTTTAAGCTTCTGCTTACAAAATGCCTACTTGCAACTAAAACACTTGGTAAATATTTTGAAAGTACATGTATAGATTATTTAGTGATGCAAAATGGAGTCAAGGTAACAGACTTGTTCCTTACTCTGTCATTAACAGTATGATCTCACTTACAGTTTCTTCAGAAGTCACACACATTGGCTTTGAAATGGAATGACTACACAGGCTGATCTCTGGGATCACTTATATTTCTTAGTTTATTCTAAGTGTCCACTGAAATTATAAACATTGTATAGGACAACACGTGCAGATGAAAATCACGGACATGATTCAATTACCAAACACTTTTATAACACAATTAGCACAAGTTTTATCTTTAACAGACCGTTAACAGGGAAATGATAATTTGTCAGATACAAATAATTCTGCATTCTTTACAGTTTTGTACAGTTGGTTACAACATGTGAGCAATTAAAAATAAGTTCTACTTCTACCTTGGCTTTTAAAACTCTCTATATCACATACTTAGGCAATTTTATTAATAGTTTGTATAATAGTTCATCACACTTTTCTGGAGATCGTAAAAATTAACAAATCTTACTGGCGACATACATACCATAATCTGATCTCATTATTCACATTAAACAAAATGAATGACCAAATCTTACTTGATCCTATTACAGTTAAAAGCTACTTTCTTCAAGCTAATTTATAAAATTAGCCTTATTCTTTTACAGAGAAATATTATTTACATGAACTTGAGTAAATTACCAGGTTCACTTCTATTACTGAGATGTCATTTACTCCTGGTGATATACAACAAACAGCAAATACTGTCATTTAGTCATTCTGAATTACAAAATCAAATCTGATTCTTACAAAGGCAAACCATTTTCTTTCACAACCATTCTGTTACATATGTATCTGTGTGTTTACATATAAAACCATACAGAAACTCGACTTTTATTTCTTTTTTTTTTACTGCTGGATGTAAACTGTAGAATGCCCACGCTTTCAGCTTTCTGAAGAAATCAACCGTGTTCTGGAAGCACTTCCAACTCCAAAAGACTTTTAAGTTTTACAGGCAATCACAGCAGATTCTCGCTTGTCTACAGAAAAGTCAAACCTGCTTCGCTTTTTTCTATAATGGATATAGGTGCAGTTGGGCTTATGTTTTCATCCCAAATCTGAGGAGAAGCAAGATCGCTAAGACTCGGGATTAACCTCACCTGCAGACTGGAGCAGCCCTCGCCTTGTGAGAAGACTGGGCTGGACTCAAGTGATGGAGGGAGAAGAGCCAACTTCACCCACATCACTACCTGTAGCTCCAAGAGGGGATCGGGTATTGGGGGTGGAACAAAAGAGGTGTGCGGGAACAAGGGACTTCTCTCGCAGGACCATATTTGGGGAAGTGTTCCAGACTGCGCGGTCCTGCTCGCTCCAGCGCCAAAGGGACTCGCCGGCCGGACCGCTCGGGCCTCGCTCCCTGCGTGCCGCCGGGCGCCGGGGCAGGGGAGGGCGGGGGCGGGGAGGAAGGCGGCGGGCCCGGGCCCCGAGCGCTCTCCAGGGCCGCTGTAGGCCCGGCCCGTGCCCGCGGCTTCGGGGGCTCCGACCCGGAGGGGCGCTCGGATCTATCCCCGCCCGGCGGGAACCCAGACCCAGCCCTCGACTCACCGCTCTCCACCTCGCTGCCTTTCTTGGCGGTCGCCGCGTTCCCCATGACGGGGCGATGGCAAGAAGGGGTCAGGGAGGGGAATGGGGGGGCCGGGGCCGTCCCCGCCGCTCCACAGTCCGCGGCAACTCCCGCTTCTGCACTGCTCGGAGCGAAGAGTGCGCCCGGCTCCGCGAGCGGGAGTCCGCGCGGGAAGACCGGGCCGGATCCGAGCCAAGGGCTTCGGCGAAGTCCCAGGCAGTGGCAGCGGTAGTAGCGGCGGCGGCGGCGGCGGCGAGCAG